CTCAGCCTTCTGAGTAGCGGGAATTACAGGCATGCGCTACCACACCCAGCTGATTTTTTGATTTATTGTAAAGATGAGGTCTCGCTGCCCAGGCAGGTCTCGAACCCGCGGGCTCAGGCAATCCACTCACCTCAGCCTCCCAAAGCGCGGGATTACAGGCTGAGCCACCAAGCCTGGCTTCTTTTCATTCTCTTAACAATGACTTTTAAAGACCAGAGCTGCTTATATTGATGAAATTCAGTCTTCTAATTTGTTCTGTTAATAGCTGTCCTTTTGGTGTTGTATCTAAGAAACCTTTGCCTAATCAAATGTTACAATGATTTTTTTTTCCCCTGTATTTTCTTCTAGAAGTTTTACAGTTTTAGGTTTTACCTCTAGGTCTGTGATCCATTTTGAGTCAATTTTTGTATATGATGTGAAGCATGGATCTACATTCTTTTTGTTTGTTTGTTTGTATTACATGTAGATATCCAAAAGTTTCCACATGAATATCCAAATATTTCCACACCATTTGTTTAAAAATGCTGCCCTTTCTCCATATTTTGAATTTCATCAAAAATTACTTGTTCAGGAGTGGAACTTCTGGAATGGTGGAGTGAGGAGCTCAGCAAATCCCTTCCCCTAAAAGCAACAATAAAGCTGTAAAAAGAGCCGAGCTTGGTGGCTCTGCCTGTAATCCCGCGCCTTTGGGAAGCTGAGGTGAGTGGATTGCCTGAGTCCGCAGGTCGAGACCCGCCTGGGCAGCGAGACCTCATCTCTACAATAAATCAAAAAAATCAGCTGGGCGTGGTAGCGCATGCCTGTAATTCCGACTACTTGGAAGGCTGAGGCGGAAGGATCGCCGGAGCCCAGCAGGTTGAGGCTGCGGTGGCCGGGAGCGGCCACTGCACTCCAGTCTGGGTGACAGAGTGAGACTCCAACTCAAAAAAAAAAACACCAACTGTAAAAAGAAATAGTCAAAAGCAAACATTTTTGAACACTGACAATTTACCAAGGACGTATGTCAAATTGAAAAGTGTTTATTGATGGAAAGACTACCAAACCTTGGTAAGAATAGTATGGTCTATAACATTTAAACTTGGAGCTGCTCCCATCCCCAGCTCTGTGGGCGTGGCAGCCATGAGGAATGGAGGTGTCACTGCAAATGTGGAGAGATAACCTGACTGGGACTCCAGAGAAAAACCCCATGCCATGGTTATTGTTGAAAACAATTGTGATATCAGCAGCAAGTAATTGGGGAAGACAAACATCATACTGCCTGAGGCTGCAGCATTGTTTGGGTAAGCAGAAAACCAGACAAAAAATTAACAGGGAGACAGGGAAAATGAGACAGCAATAGTGGGCATCAATAAGCTCCCCCATATTCCTGAGCATGTGGAAGTCTTTGCACATGCGCGTGCTATGGGTCTTGTTATTGACTCACCCCTGGGTGATTGTGAGACACTGTACAAGCAGAAATCAATGACAGTACAGACTTATAAACAGTCTGAACTTAATATGTGTGCCCAAACTCACACATCTACCACCTTAGTGGAAGCCATACTGGTTTGAGGTGTATAATCACAACTTCTGATCAGTCATTGGCTGACACTAAACAATGCTGACCCAAGGGCGACCCCAAGGAAGCCAGGCATAAAAATAAAAAGAATTTTTTAAAAACCAAACAGAGACATCAGTAGCTACACAATGAAGGAATGATAAACTTTACAGAATTCGGCCTTATAAGTCCCTAAGCAAGCCACAACAACAATCATGGAGGGTGGGATCATAATCTAAAGTTGTTCAAATATATTATCTACAATGTCAAATTTTCAATAATTATGAGATATGCAAGACAAACAAACCACACACACACACACACACACCAGAAGTTGTGGTCCATACACAGGAAAAAAAAGCAGTCACTAGAAACTGTCTCTGAGGATGCCCACAAGTTGCATTTAATAAAAACTTCAAACCAGCTATTATAAATTTGTTCAAAG